ACATAATGCAGATTGAAATCAACAAAATCAACCATTACATTTCAATCAATTAAACAAGCACAAATAAGAATTATGTTAACATCAATTAAACAAATCAACTTTTACAAATCACCTTTTACAAATCAATTAAACAATCAAAAAATAAGCAATAATTCTTATTTCCTCATCTACTATTGAATCAACTTTTGCAGCCATACATCATTTTCACGTAGCTCACTTCTGAGATTAACCTGCATAAACCAAACATTTGCTCAAACAACACTTTCTACACATCTAAAACCTACAAACAGCAAATTATTGAATTCTAGGTACTTAACCAAACATTTTCAAACCACATGCCTATAAACATACCAATTATTTATGGACATTTTTATAACGTGGATGCAGGTAGGCAGCGTCTCGTATATATCGATCTAGCCATATAATGCTGAAACCACAAGCCTACTGCAGCTCTATCTCTATCGGTGGGAGGTAGATACTTTATACTTCCTGTGATCAAACGGTCCAACGCCAAGCATACGAGAGGACCACAATCCCCTCTGGGTCCTTTCGTTTGTTGTGGTGCGGTCTCGTCTCTGCTAACTGTAATATTGAGCTTCTTTGGCTTCTTGTTTCCAGAACGAGTCCAATAATTTATCGCATCCAAGAATTTAGCCAAATGAGAGCTCCATCCCTTAATAATATCTCTTAAATCAGCCAATGATATGTAATTTATCATGCTGTCATATACTATTGCCTTAAGGGATGGGATCTGAAGCTCGACGAGAAGCCAATGTTTACGTTCCAAAACAGGGATAAACACATGCAATCATAAGTAATAATTCATTCATTTGCGCACTTATTTATGATTATCGACCTCCCACCATGCAGGATAAAGTTTAGCTTGTCCATTGCCCAACGCAAATGATTCATCTCGTTGATTCTTCAAGTGAACAGCGTTAAAAGACGTCGGCATAATTGTATATCGTGTATTTCTTTTATTTTCCTTAAGTTTCCTAATTATTAGAAGACGTGACACCCACGTATTGATATGTTGTTTTACAAAAAAAGACATATATTAGTAACTTACATAAATTTAAAAAAAATCAAATTAAAATATAAGAAAAATATAAGACTTACCCCTCCATCGAAATAGCCATTGTCTTCGACCCCTAATAATACGCCCCACTAAGACCGATCAAGCAACAAATAGATATCATCGTTGAGCTTGCATATGTCAGTGAAACACCCCTGGCTCCGCTCATGTAGATAAAAATCAACTGCGGTCTTAGCCCAAAGGGTGTTATCCAGAATTGTGTCCGGTAGTTGTTTCCTCTCCACTTCAGATACCGGTATGGTACTGGCTGGTAACTCATACGAGAGCCAACTTGAATCCATCATGTCCGGCACGTCATAGGGTTTCTCAAGAATCCTACATATGACGCCATGTGAATCGGGCTCTTGAATGGTGGGAGGGACCTCTTCAACGATGAAAGTGGCCTCTTGAACGGTGGGATGGGACTCTCGAGGAATGATAGGGGCCTCTTCAACGATAGGAGTGGACTCTTGAGGGATGACAGGCGAGTCAGACTTCTTCTTGCGGTGTCTTCGCACTATTGGGGTGTACGGAGACTTAATAGCACGTGCACGCCGTCTGATGCATGAACTCTGTCGTGCAAGAAAAACCCGACGTAAAGCATCCACCTTATCGGTCCGCTAAATAATTAAATACAAATATCAGTAAATAAACATACATGATATTTAAACAGTGAAAACAAAGACAAATATATTTCAAACTTTCAACCAAAAGACAAAACAAAGACAAATACTAACTTCACAGTGTTAAAGAATACACAGTTTAGTAGAATTGGCAGCAACCGAATAAATTTACTTCAACCAAAAGACAAAACAAAAAGACAAATACTAACTTCACAGTGTTAATAAACAGTTTAGCAGTATTGGCAGCAACCGAATAAATTTACTAAGTAATCTAAGTGAAATGGTTAATTTAAGTGAAATTACGAGTAAATTTGTCATCAAGTTAAATATGGAAAATCTTAAACTTACCTCGTTGCGTAGAGTATGAACCTCATTCTGCAACGATACTACCATCTCACGTAGAGCGACAACCTCACCACATAAAGTAGACACCTCCACACGCCATGCACCATCGTTATCGCGTAGAGTACCGATCTCCTCACGCAAGGCATTGACCTCATCACATAACTCCCTTGACTCATCCCGTGGAGGTGGAGGTGGAGAACAGGGAGATAGAAGTCGTGGCATCTTTGCCGGTCGCCTATCATGAGGTGATGGTGGATAAGAGGCTCGATGATGTGACGGGATAGGTGATGGCTCTCGTTGTAGAGGTGTATAGTCGGGTCGATCAGGTGATGGCTCTGGGTGAGGTGATGGCTCTCGAAGTGGAGGAAGTGAAGGCTACTCATCATTCGTGCCATCAAGAAAACGCTGACTAGCTTGCCACCAATCAGTGGCAAGCTCAGCCTCCGTGGGTGTCAGTCTCATTAATGGAATGTTGGCCTCCTAAAAATATAAAAACTCAAACAAAGTTAAACGTCTACTATTAATAACTTGTTTATATATGATAGTATTTGTGTTAACTTACATTATTTATTGTCGCATATGGTATTAAGTCTTCCCAATCCAACAGACGTTTCCTCTTCCAGGAAATAGCCCTAGGAATATTATTTGAGGTTTTTAATGCATATGTCTGCATGCTGGGGAAAGCCTCAAATATCCAAATCTACAAACAATATAATAACATTAGGAATTGTTAAATAATTAATTATAATTTTGAAAACATTATATAGAAATTCTTACCTTAAAGGCCCAAACAAAGCCTGACAAAGTGTATTTCGACCCATCGCCCCGCAAACTTTTGCGGTCATCAAAGGCAGACAACAACTTAGTCCAGGTAGCTTTTCATATATACGAACCCCACGGAAATAGATTCCATGCATTTAGGTCCTCTACCAATAATATTAGCTCCTGAGGAATAGGTTGTCTGGCCTCTCTGCCTAAAAAGCCGGCATACAAAAGTAGTAGAAGGCATACTCGGACAACATCGACGTCATTCATCCGAGTAAAACCATCTTTCTTATTAAACAATTTCTTCATGTCGTCGACGTGTAAGTTCGGCTTCTCTATTGACTCATCAGGAAAAACCCTCGATAACCATGATGGGCGGGTGATATGACGAGTGTACCGGCCTACATCATCGTGTCCGAATCGTAGACCAGTGATTAAGCAGAACTCCTTCCGCCCAAAACAATTATACGCCGGTGGAAAATGAAACCATATCTCTTCCTCACCACGTTGTATACTGTCGGGTAGATCGCTAGTCATGGTCTGAAGCCACAAATGGGTCAAATTAGCATCTGCACCCGGATGATGTACTCTCAGCCATGGCCCGAAGCAAGTTTCCTCAAACAATTTTCTTTGTGTAGGTGAAAGCTTCGAAGCAATTGTAGTGGCTAGGCTAACTTTATTCCTTAATGTCAATGAAGTCGAAAAAAATTTCTACAAAAACAATAAACATACCAAGTTAGATATACCAAAAACTACACTGTGAAGATATACCAAAAACAATAAACATAAATAGTAGTTTATTCTTGAAACTAAAATTTGCAACACTGTTTTGTCTTTTGGTTGAAATGAAAATCGCAACGAGATAATGAAAATCGCAACGCGAAATGACTATCGCAACGCGAAATGAAAATCGCAACGCGAAATGAAAATCGCAACGAGAGAATCGCAACGCGAAATGAAAATCGCAACGCGAAATGAAAATCGCAACGCGAAATGAAAATCGCAATGCGATTTTGGTTTCGCGTTGCGATTCTCTCGTTGCGATAGTTATTTCCGCGTTGCTATTTTCATTCTCGAAACTATTCTTCTTCTGTATTACTTCAACCAAAAGACAAAACAAAAACAAATACTAACTTCACAGGCTAAACGGTTTAGCAGTATTGACAGCAATCGAATGAATTTAATAAGAAATCTAAGTGAAATGGTTAATCTATTATTGAAATTACCAGTAAACTTATCATCAATCTCAATATGAAAAACCTAAAATAATGCAAAAATTTCAAAATAAAAATAAAAAAAACTAACCCTCGGAGGTTGATTTTCCATTTCTGAATGATTGTGAGGGATTTCTGACCGTGAATGGTTGTGAGGGATTTCGCCGGCGATGGGGACGGAAATCTTCGGAGATAAGGACGGATTTCGCCGTAGAGAGTGAGAGATGGAGATGAGACTGAGTGTTGTGATTTTAGGTTTGAGGTTATGAGTTGCGATTACTGTGAACGGTTCAGTTTCCGATATATTAAGAAAAAATTTGTGTTTGGAATTTGAAAAAAAAATACGCGTTAATACGAATGGCGCTATGTAAATCGCATTGCGATAGTAAGATTCGCATTGCGATTTACGTATTCGCATTGCGATTTTCCTAATTCGCATTGCGATTTACTTAATCGCGTTGCGATTTACGTATTCGCATTGCGAATTATGAAAATCACAACGCGAATACGTAAATCGCAATGCGAATTAGGAAAATTGCATTGCGATAGTCAGTATCGCATTGCGATTTTTCAAATTCGCATTGCGATTTACTTATTCGCATTGCGAATTGGGAAAATCGCAACGCGAAATTGGAAAATCGCATTGCGATAGTCATAATCGCGTTGCGAATCTGGAAACTGATTTGCGATAATGGAGATCGCGTTGCGAATTAGCGATCGCATTGCGATTTTGTTGGTCATTTTGGCAAATCCGGAAAAAATTGGTTAAAATCGTATATTATATATGATTTTTGGTCACTGAGGTTATTTTCTCATATATATATATATATATATATATATATATATATTGTTTAAATGCATGATAAAAGAAGATAATGGATGGAGATCCAATATATTTAAAATCACGCAACTGCACTCAAACCAAGATTTGCTTGGCTGAGGCTGATGAACGTTACGCATAGAAAGAAAGCACTAAATTCCATAAGGATCAGCAGCATGCTACTATCATAAAATAACACTAAATCATCATACTAGGAATTTGCAGGATATGAGAATCTTCTCCCAATTACTGTTTGCTAGTGGTTCACTCGGGTTAGGTTTTGGACATGGTTCGTCCTGGTGCCCAAGAGTATATCTCAGGAGGGTTAGTTCCATTGGTGATCAAGTTCTGCGGCATCATCCCATACAAATCCGAAATGTCCAGGTGATGGTGCCGACCATGATATTGGTTCTGCATAGCCGCTGTTGCAATTTCATCGGAATCATACGGCAGACGGTCGAAGGTGGCATTCATGAAGGATGCAGCCATGATGAGAACAGGACCGGAAGCAATGAGTGCACCGACTACGCCTCCGCCGACAACCTGTCCCTGAGCCCCGGCAAGGTAAATGGTCAGGCCGGTTATCCCAGGTGGAGCAGGAGGCGGAAGGATCGAGCCGAGCAACGACAGAATCTCGTACCGGCCATGTAAGGTGACAATTGCACCAGATGAGGCTGGTTGTTTGAGTGTAACATTAGTCACGAACCCACTACCACTAAGAACACAAATGCCACGCTGCTTTCTCCTTGCAAAACTAGCCAAACTCTCATGCACATCACAACCCGAACTCACCTCCATTGCATGCGCACGTAACGCATTAGCGCTGTCGCGAGTAACGATAATGGGCGGTTTCGGTTTGTTCTTGGATCCCGCCGGCCTCCCTCGAGGCCGCCTAATGTTCTCGGCCTCGGCAGAAGCGACCATTGTCACTGCCTTGGGCACCTTGGGAGCCATGAGTATCACATCATCAATGCCTTGTCTATGCTCTTGGTTCTGAATTTGATCCATGGGTGTTCTCATCTCTGTGCTTTGCTCCATTCATGCAACCTCAGATTTTCCGGAAAACAGATGCAGAAAACTCAGGTCCCCATGTGAGATTAAATAGTGGGGTATGGATCAATAATTTAATAGTGAGAAGCAGAAAGAATGATTGAAGGTTAGGAGATGGTTAAGTGCCTACCTCCAAACCGATCCATCAATCATGTTAATTGCCTTTCCCAACAAATACCTACATCAATTCTTCTGCTTCTGCATAAATTAATATTACTCAAACACAGTGGATATAAGTAGGGGTTCAAAACTGGGTATCCGAAATTTTCGTATGTCGACTTGTTAAGTCTGGGTACTCGTAAGTTGAATATCTGTAAAATTATATTATTTTAAAAAAATTACATAAGAAAATATAAATTTGATAGTCAAGCATAGAATTTAAAAAATTAAAATATATAATTGAAAGATAAAATTTGATACTCAAGCCGCCAAAAATAGGATTGGGTACTTAACCCGAAAATTTAGATATTATCACTATAAATATCCAATAGTTTTATACAGAATCGACGAATCAAAAGACCGAATCAACAAGTTAGATAAGATATTTTTAAACACTCCTAAATGTAAGTAGTAATCAACAACGAATCTATGAGTTTCACACAGATGATCATTTGAAATCAAAAGATGGAATACAAAGTTGTGGCCCATGCCATTAATAGTCACCTTATAATATTTTAAAAAATTATTGATGATTTACAATTGGCCCTCATGTTGCCATTTATGATTGTCGGCTAAAACCAGGCTTAAAACCAACTATATACTCCAGATACTTGTAATATAATCGAATAACAATTAAAACAAATAAAAAACATACATATATTTTAATAGGGTAAAATCATTCCCATTTTAAGGAAATTAAAATAACACCTCTGTTATTTATTTAATTATGTAATTAATATTTAATTATTTTTGTTATCACTTGTGAGCTTATGCCCTATATGAATTTAATTTCTTTTGTTACCATTTGTGAGTTTATGACCTATGCGAACTCTCAAACACCCGGAGCATACCACATGAATTACCAACGACGACCACGTGTCAATCACCTATTACACCACAATCACCTATTACACAGTTTCTGACAAACTAGTCTAAACCTTCATTTCCTAAGACGACCAATCAGAACCAGCACCACGACAATTCCCGATTGACACCTATTCATAGTCATGCAACAGAAAATTAAAGTACATACACACTTGTTCTCTAAAAGTTCAAACCCACACTATCAGAGTAACTCTCCGACCACCATCTATGATTATGTCTACATCAAAGTAAAAATTAGTTAACCCTATTCTCATATATATAATGGGGTAAGGGGGAGGTAGAGTAGTATGTTACCCCCAACGCCAGGTTGAGAGCAGCTTCCGTGAAAGACCTCCATTATGAATTGCCCTCAGTGGGACTCGATCCCACGACTACAAGGTTAAGAGCCTTGTGCTCTGCCAACTGAGTTAGATGGGCAATTCTTATGTCTACATCAATGTGATAACCACAAATCTTTAAATACGACGCTCTCCATGCTTTCAATTTCTTGATATGTGATTTATTGATCCCATTCTTGTTCATGCATGCTAAATGTAAATGTGAGAGAAATGATAAAACATTGGAGCACACAAGTCAGGCAAAAATAATCAAGTTTCAACAAGCTTAACACAGCAAATTGTGAGGAAAGGATGAAAGGAATCACAAGGATGCAGCTTTCTCCTTGATAGATTCTCTAACTGCATTAAACAGGAATGGCATCAACTTCTGATTGGTCACAATGATCCCTGTGTCCACATCAAGATAGTTTCCCCTAGAGAAATCCAATGGCTTCCCTGCAGCATCTGTGACCACACCCCCAGCTTCTGCAATGGATAAAACAACAACGCAGGGAGTGGATGAGTGAGGCGAAGTACTCAAAGGGAAGCATAATAATAAACCAGTGCCAGCCTAACAACTTGAGAGAAAGATAAATAGCAGATGATGGAGTGAAATTGGCCCATACCAGTCACAACAATACACCCAGCTGCATGATCCCATATTTTCTCCCGATACCCTTTGTGAGGAAAACGCAGGTATATAGCTCCATCTCCTCTGGACAGAGCACCATACTTTGCCTGGCTATCAATTCTAACCGGTGGTGCTTTGACGCCGAGTTTCTGTTTACATCTCAACGCTTTCAATACATTTATCCCAAAGTTTTATAGATGGATAGAGAGAGGGAGGGGAGGGGGAGTACTTGGGCAATCAAACTAGATAAATCATGCATGGAGTGTGCTGCTTCATATGACTCAAAGAATGAAGCTTCTTCAGGATTTTCAACAGCAGTTACTTGCACCTGGACCCGTGAAAATGTACAAGTTACAAATACATACTCAGATTAATAGCAATAAATTATAATAGATCAGTATAACCTTCACTGCCGAAGAACCATCGAGTGGCTGCATATAAGTTCCACCACCAACTTCAGCAAAGAAAAGGCAGCCAACTTCATTATTTGGAGAATGCTGATCAGGGGCACTGATGGACGTTAGTGGAAGATTTGGACAAGCCAGCACACCTAGAACAACTTTTCCTCCATCTAACAAAGCCAATGCTATTGCATATTGATCTCCTCTCAGAAACCTACAATGTAAAATATCAAATACTGTGGAGTAATTCATAAAGTTGGTCTAAAAGCACATACACAACATGCACCCAATGAACATGAATCTTTATCATAGCAAAGTAGCAAACACCAACTTCTTTATGACTAAAGCAAAATAACTCAAATAAGTTTGAGAGCTCACCCTTTAGTACCATCTATAGGATCCAAAACCCAGTGTCGACCTTGAGAACCACCTTCAGATCTGCCACTGTCAATGGCCTTGATGACATCTTCTGTGGATAAAGTAACATTGTATGATCCATCACTAGTTATAGAATCGTTTACAAGTTTTGTAATACGCTCAACTATTTCCTGGCCACCATCCTTGCGGAGATCTTTAGAATCCTAAAGAGAACTCAAAACATTATTTAGAAGGAAAGAAGAGTTCTACAATGCAAATAGAAAAAAAAAAAAACAGATGGTTGATGCATGTTGCTGAAATAATTCTTCACAAGTACAGAGATTCACCTCCTCGGCAACTAATGAGAAGTCAGCAGGAATTTCCTGCTGCAGCACAGAACTAACCAATGCTTGTGACCCTGATGAAAATTTTAAAATATAAAAATGTCAACGAAACATGATAGTCATCAGTTAAGATTTCTTTCTGCCAAACCTTAAAGCTGAATGATGCTGAGATCAAGAATAACAAATACTTTAACCAGCAGTTTTTAGGGAAACACAATGTAAAAAGCATAAAGTGAATTTCATAAAACTTAATCATGACTATGAGTTATACATATAATAATGCATCATCTAACAAGTATATATGTACAAATTCTACATATTTTCCCTGGAACATTGATATGTACAGATACAACATATGATTGAGAGAGGTGAACTGGAGGCAACTATCAAGCAGGCCAATGTACGATGGGACAATGTAATCGCACTCTAGATATGCTAATCAAACAAAACACTACATATATCACAACAACGCCATTTTGATATCACCAGGGGAAAAAAACATTTCATCCAATAGAAACTTTAGCTCAATGCCAAGGAAAACACCATACAACTCTGCAGATTTCCTAGTAAAACAAATTATGATAAGCAGGAAACAAATAAATTCCTAGCAACAAGCTAACAGTTAAAAAGAATTAAGTAAATCAACCAGGAAAAAAGAAAACTAAAGGGAATCCATTTGAAATTCAAGATGCATGGTTTCTTTAAAAAAAAGGGGGGATGATATTAGGCGAAAGAACCAAAGAGGAAGAAGCAAGAAAGTTTCAGAAACAAACCATAATCAGCGACTGTTACAGGACTTTTATCATTTTTGGATTGGACATCCGATTGTAGCAAAGCCTTTTGAACTTTCTGGAGATAAAAAACAAACAACCAAAACCCAAATTCAGGTTCTATATATACAGCTTGACATGATGAAATATATCAAAACCATCATCTATATACATTTCTTGTGTTAGAGTTGTGACACAATTTCTTCCTAGACCGGCCCATGAAGTTACAAGCAAAACAGTGGTAAAAGTGTGAGGCCTGCAGGGATTAGAGTATATTCTGTCTGATCCCTGTAAATAGAAAGTAGGGATTAAGGTTTTCAAATGTAACAGTTGTAACAAAACTTCATTTTTGGATTTAGTGAAAGTTTCTTCTCCTATACCCGTAGTTTCTCTCTTTTGTTTTTCCACATAAATCTTGGTATTTTTTATTTTCTGACAAATCGTTTTTCGTTTACCATTAATCGTTCCAATAATCATAACATCTTGTAAACTTAAGAATGGTAATTCTGAACAAAAATCCTAAATTTAATTGAAAAAAATGAGATGCAATTCAGTCACTTCAATTCCCCTAATACTAGTTATAAAAATAAAATAAACACACACGGAGCACAAAAACAAGAGAAGATATTTTTCCAGTAAAAATCAAAAGATGTGAGAAAATCTAAAAACCCATGACAGAAAACGCAGAGAAAAATGGGGGGTTTTGATGAAAAATGGAAACCTGACAGAGACGAGCAGCGAGAGAGGCTGCTTTCTTGGCAGCAGCCAGCTCCTTACTGTAAGACATTGATACAAGCACTGCTGGAGAAGAAGAATACGAAGAAGGCGAGTAGCTGAGATGAAAAACAGGAGGCTTCTTAATGGAGTGGCATACAAGTCTCAAGCAATTTAAAGACATATGTACCTAATTTCAATTCAATAATTTCGTGAGAACTTTTATTGTGGTTTCTTCTTTCGAGAGGAGTGGGTCATTACTAGGTTAAAGTCACGGGCTGTCTAAATAATCGTTAATAGAGAATAGTCTAGATTAAAGATTGGGTAAATTACACAAATGATCCCCTAACTACATAGTAATTATTGAGTCTATCGACTATTAAAATTTATAAAATGATCATCTGATTATAAATTATTACTTTGTTGAGTCTCTCAAATATTAAAAATTACAAAATGATCACCAGACTACTTATATGTTTCAAACTTGTCATTTTATGTTAAAATAATTAGTGGTCGTCTAAGATGGATGTTAACCTACTAACCAAGATATGATAACATCTGGTCTCAGAATCTCAAACGACTATACATTCAAATGATTCTATGATCATATTTTATCATATC